AGAAAAAAAAACATCCTTTTCAAAATGTTACTGTTCATTGACAATGCACCTGGTTACCCAACGACTCCAGATATACAATGAGATTAATGTCTTCCTACCTTTAACACAACATTTATTCTGCAGCCCATGGCTCAAGGAGTCATTTTGACTTTCAAGTCTTATTATTTAAGATATATATTTCATAAGGCTATAGCTGCCATAGATAACGATTCCTTCAATTGATCTGGGCAAAGTAAATTGGAAACGTTCTAGAAAGGATTTACCATTCTAGATGTCATTAAGAATATTTGTGATTCATGAGAAGAAGTCAAAATCTCAACATTAACAGGAGTTTGGAAGAAGCTGATTCCAACCCTCATTGATGACTTGGGGGGCTCAAGACTTCAGTGGAGGAAGTAACTGCAGATGTGTTGGAAATAGCAAGAGAACTGGACTTAGAAGTAGAGCCTGAAGATGTGACTGAGTTGCTGCAGTTTCATGATACAACTTTAATGGATAAGGAGTTACATCTTATGAATGAGCAAACGAAGTGGATTCTTGAGATGAAATCTACTCCTGGTGAAGATGCTTTGTAGATTATTGAAATGATAACAAAGGATACAGGATATTACATAAACTTAGTTGATAAAACAGTAGCAGGGTTTGAGAGACTGACTCCAATTTTGAAAGAAGTTCTACTATGGGTAAAATGCTGGCAAACAGCATCAAATGCTACAGAGAAATCGTTCCTGAAAGGAAGAGTCTGTCGATGCCACAATTGCTGTCATATTTTAAGAAATTGCCACAGCCTCCCCAACCTTCAGCAACCACCACCCTCATCAGTCAGCAGCCATCAACCTAGGGTCAAGACCCTCTGCCAGCAAAAAGATTACAACTCACTGAAGTCTCAGATGATGGTTAGCAATAATGTGTTTTTTAATTAAGATGGATATATAGTTTTTTTACATAATGCTATTGCACACTTAATAGACAACAATGTAGTGTAAACATAACTTTTATATGCACTGGGAAACCAAAAAATTTGTGTGACTCACTTTAGTGTGATATTTGCTTTATTTCAGTGGCCTGGAACCGAATCTGCAATATCTCTGCAGTATGCCTGTCATTCAAAAAGATGTATGTGCCACTATTTTCATTGCAGCATTATTTATAATAGCCAAGATATGAAAGCCACCTTATTTTCCATAGATTAATTACTAATGAAGATATAGAGATGTAGTATATATATGTATAATGGAATATTACTCACCCATAAAAAAGAATGAAATCTTCCATTTGTAACAACATGGATGGATCTAGAAAGTATTATGCTAAGTGAAATAAGTGAGACACAGAAAGACAAATATTGTATGATTCACTTATATGTGAAATCTGAAAGACAAAACAAATGAACAAACAAAACAGAAACAGACTCATAGATACAGAGAACAAACTGGTGGCTGCCAGAAGAGAGGGGGATGGGGAGTTGTGCAAAATAGGTGAAGGGGATTCAGAGGTACAAAATTCCAGTTATAAAATAAATAAGCCACCAGGATGTAATATACAGTATATGGAATATAATCAATAATATAGTAAGAACTTTGTATAATGACAGACGGTGACTAAACTTATCATGGAAATCATTTTGTAATGTATATAAATGTTGAATCACTATGTTGTACACCTGTAACTAACATAATATTGTATGACAACTATGCATCAATTAAAAAATAAATAAAACAGGGGCCAGCCCCATGGCCTAGTGGTTAAGTTTGGCATGGTATACTTTGGTGGCCCAGGTTCATGGGTTCGGTTCCCGGGTACAGATATATACCACACATCAGCCATGCTGTGGAGGTGACTTACATACAATATAGAGGAAGACTGGCAAAAGATGTTGGCTCAGGTTCAATCTTCCTCACACACACAAAAAAAATTAATTAAAAATAAATAAATAAAATGAAATAGAATATTTTTGTCTTCTGGCCATAGTATCTCTGTTTCTTAGACAGCAATAAATCAACAATTCAACAATTACTGTACCATTTCTCTTCTGATACATTTATTATAAACAATAAATTAAATCATAACCACAAATAGGAAAGGCAGATAGTTAATAGCATATAGGAAAACTGCACATACAAATGTCTTGGATCTTTATTTATATCTTATTATTTATTCCCTAGATATATGATCTTAAACAAGGTAATTAGCATTCTATTACTTTTAAAGAAAATGGCGAATATTCTTTTACAGAAAAATGTTGAGGATTAAAGTAAATAATGACAATAAAGCATCTACTACAGTGATCTAGAATATTGCAGACAATAAACGTTAGGTTTATTTTCCCCTGGTAATCCAGTTCTGGTCTCATGGAAGAAGAAACTCTTGTATCTTCCAAAACAGATGAGAATAGTAGATAAGCACCAGTTCTTTTAAATTCTTGATAATGAAAATAAAATCTGAGTTCTTGATAATAAAGCTAATCTTTGTGGAGTCAAGTTGAATTCTGAATGCTTTATATTTATTTACTCCTATAAATTTTACAAAAATTTAATGAAGCATGAAATATTTATAACCACCACTTTATAGATGAAAACAAGGACACAAAGGAAGCTTGTTATTGCCCTCAAATCATAGTTATTAACTTTAGAATCAGGGTAAATATTTAAGCTTTCTGATTTCATAGCCCATCTCCTTAATTGCTTCTTAATGCTCTAATTTGAGAACATTACAATTTCCAATATCATCAAGTCCTGATTGCTTTTTGTTTAACAGCTCTTGCCTCAATTTATCTCTCTCCTCTCATATTTACTGTAAGTAGCAAGACATTTCTATTCTTTGCTTGGAAATTTCCTCAGCTTAATATCCAAGTTTACCACCTCTAAGTTCTGCTTCCCACATAACTGCAGGATACAGGCCTGTTCAGCTTTCTGTCACTATATAACAAGGATCCCCTTTCCCTTGGGTTCCAATAATTTGTTCCTGATTTCTTTCTAAGCCCTCACCAGTACCTTCAACATCCATATTTCTATTAGCAGTCTGTTCATGACAATTTAACGGTTCTCTAACATGACATAGGTTTTTCTACAATGCTTCTCACTTTCTTCTGAGCCTTTCTTGGAAGAATCTTTAACATGCATATTTCTGCCAACAGTCTCTTCAAGACAATGAGGCTCTTTCTGTCATGCTCCTCAAATTTCCCGAGTCAATGCCCACTGCATAATTCAAAAGCCATTTCAACATTTCAATATTTGTTATTGAAGCACTCCACTTTCAGGGACCAAATCTGTGTTAGTTTTCTATAGCTATCCAAAAAAAATTACCAGAAACTAGGTGGCTTAAAACAACAGTAAGTTATTCTCACACTGTTCTGTAGGTCATATTTTCCAACATGGGTCTCAATGGGCTCAAATCAAGATGCTGCAGGGCTGCATTTCTTTCTGGGGGTGGTAATGGAGAATCTTCTTCCAGCTTCAAGAAACCACACACATTCGTCCACTTGTAGCTCCCTTCCTTCACCTTCAAGTCTGCATCTCTCTGACCCTTCTTCTGTTGACATGTTTTCTTTCCGACCACAGCTAAGAAAGGCTTTGCTTTTCTGAGGATTCGTGTGATTAGATTGGGCCCATTCAGATTGCTCCGTATAATCTCCTCATCTTAAGGACTCTAGCATTAATCACACCTGCAGTATCTCTTTTTTTCATGTAAGTAACATAGTCACAGGTTTTGAGGATTAGGGCATGGAGATCTTCAAGGAACCATTATTCTTCCTGCTACATTGATTTATCAATAAAGTGATCTGGAATTCATGGAATTTCTACTTAAAGTGAAATTCATATACTTATTTTTAATAATGACAAAAAAATGACTTAACTATCCATCCTAAGAATTTAGAAAACAGCAGTAAATCAAACCCAATGAAAGTGGAAGGCAATACATTACAAAGAAAACATCAGAAATTAATGAAACAAAATGTATATATAGAAGAGAGTATCAGTGGAACCAATAGTGATACTTTGAAAACAATTAAAATTTGACAATGTTCTGAAAAGATATACTAAGAAAATAAAGTGAGGAACAAATAACAAAAGAAATAATAAATAAAAGAGATCTCCCTTCAAGTGTTACCAATAAAAAAGAATGAGTCAAATAAATGTAACAATGTAGATAAATAAAATTTTAAAAACTTAGGAGCAAAATTCAATTTACTGAAGCTGACTTCTGTAGAAATAGAAAACTGAGGTATTTGCACAATAATTTTTAAAAGAATCAGTAATCAAAAAGAACTCCGCAAAGAAATATAGACCCACATGTCTTCACCAGAAAACTCTACCAAATAATGACACCGTCCAAAAAAATCAAGTCGTTCACAAACTATACTTTTATCTGTAGATAATAGAAGAAATATTAGTATTCCAAACATATTTTATTAGGGTGGATCACTATTGAGATTAAACCCAATAAATTCTTACTAGGAAGAAAAATTACACACCAATTTTATTCTTGAACAGCTACATAAAGATTCAAAATTAGATATTAGGAAAAATAATTCAGCATGCATAAAAATGATAATAAATAATGATCAAATCTGACATTAGAAAACTAGCCAATATAATTTACCATTTTAAGAGTTTAGACATAGGAAATCACCCTATCTCTTCATTAGGTGCACACAAAAGGCTTGATTCTCTTTCACAATTATTCTTTATAAAATCTCAGAGCAAACAAACTATTGAATGTATATTAATTATCTATTGTTATGTAACATTATCTCTATGCCTAAAACAATAATAAACATTGATTACCTCACAATTTCTGTGGTTCTAGAATTTGGGAACAGTTTCTCTGGGGAGATGTGACTCAGAGCCTTTAATGAGGTTGGCAGTTAAGGTAGGATCTCATTATATGTGGAATCTAAAAAAGCTGAACTCACAGAAACATAGGGCAGAATGGTGATTGCCAAGGGTTGGAGAGTGTAATAAATGGAGAGATGTGGGTCAAAGGGTATATACTTCCAGTTATAAGTACTGGTGATCTAATGCACGGCATGGTGCAACAATCCTCTGCATCATACTCATGAAGGCTTTTTTCACTTGTTGGTTCCATAACGTGTAGATGAAATGATTCAGAAGTGGAGCAACAGAGGTATTGAGCACCGCAATTCCCTTGGAGAAAGATATTCTTTGTATGACTGATGGTTCAACATACATGAAGATGCAGCTGCCATAAGAAAGGAATATCACAAACATGTGAGAAGAACATGTGGAAAAGGTCTTTTTCCTCTGACTAGTTGAAGGGATTCTTAGAATGGTCAAGGCAATACAGGTATATGATATTGTCACCATTGCTAATGTGGCCACGAGTCTCACCGCAGCTGAGATGAATCCCATCATCTACAGAAGCTGTGTGTCTGAGCAGGAGATCTGCAGGAGAGGAGTAGTGACATGGTAGAAATGATCAATAATATGGGAGATACAGAAGTCAAGGCATAGGCCTAAAAGGAGTGGTGGAAAGATGACAAAAACCCAGCAAGCCAGCAACTGAGGACCAGCTGTATGAAGATTTTACTGTGCGTGATGGTTGTGTAATGCAGGGGCTTACAGATGGCAACATAGCAGCCATGGGACATAGCTGCCAGCAGGTAAAATTCAGATGCTCCAAGAAGGAAAGCAAAAAATACTTGAGCTGCACAACTGTTATAGGAAATGGTTTTGTTGCCAGTTGCCATAATAGCCAGAAACTTAGGAATGCATGTAGTAGTGTAGGAAATTTCTAAGAAGGAAAAATTCCAAAGGAGAAAATACTTGGGAGTCTTGAGGTGAGTATCCACCAGGGTGAGTGTGGTGATGATCAGATTGCCAGTGATGCTTAGCAAGTAGATGAGAAGCAGGAACATAAATAAAACAACTTTCAATTGCAGGTCATCAGTCAAACCTGCCAGGATAAAACTGTCACTCTTGTATGGTTTCCCATTACTGTCCTCTACTTTTCCAGGTCTAAATAGAAAAAAAAAAGAAAGAAAGAAAGAAAGCAAATTATGATCCTGTGAAAAAATGTCATAATTAGTACTGTAAAGTTAGCAAAGCAATGTTACAGATAGAGTAACCCAATAATCATTCATGTTTTAAAGATAATTCTGCCAGGAAGAACAGTAGTTTGAATTACCAGAGAATCTGGACAAAGAATCCAATCTTTAGTTGGCATTTCTACCACAGAATAACCTAAATCATGATAGTATTTGTTGACTGTTTTTATGTGAACAAATTAGAGGGAAATGAAGGGACATTTTAAAGCATAGAACATTGCTTCCAGGATGGATGCCATTTCCTTTTCAATTAAAGAAGTCTGTACATTAGAACCATAATGATACCTATTGTAACAAGAACATTAGCTCATGTTGTATGTTTAACACACACACACACACACACACAATTACACACACACCCCTAAGTGAATCAATACACAGGACTAGTTTAACTTTACCACATTACTCAAGTCAATCTCAAATGTGCCATTTACTTTTATGGCTAATGAGATCCAAATTCAGATAAGTGAATATGAAGTGGTGGGAGTAATTTTGTTTTCTGTTCTTGTTAGTATTTCCATTCCCTCAATTTCTGATATCACTCCCACCCTTCCCACTTTGTTCCCCAAACAAAATCAGCAGGAACAGTCTGCTAATATTGGTGTGTGTGGCAAGAAACTGCAGTTTTCCTCTGCAGGTTATGGTTTTGAGAATGGTCCACATAAACAAAAGGGAAAAGTGAGATAAAGGGACGTAGAAGCAAAGAAAAATGTATAAATATGAGTTCATGAAATTACATGAGGTGGGAGAAGGAAAGAGAAGAGAAAGATAAAGACAAAGTTATATGGAAATCTAGAGAACTAAGAAGAGTTTTTTAGAGATAGGGTAGTGAGTTTGAGGAAAAAATTAAAAGATTAAAAATACGTAAATAAAAATATGTGAAGATTAAAAAAGAAAAACATAAAAATATGTAAGTAAAAAGTTGAAGAAGATTTAAAATGTTTAAATTAGTAAGCAAAAATTTTAAAAGATAAAAATATGTAAATTATTAAGAAAAATATGTAAGAAGTTTAAATTTGTAAATAAAAGTCATAGGGAGGAAATGTTTACCAATGACATTTCTATAACTGCTTCTACCCTTTATGCTTAGCATTTTTTTCTTTGTCTAAAATGCAGACTGAAAACATGAACAATTTTGAGATCAGTGTGGCCTAAAATGATAAGGAGTGAATATTTTGTAAATTTCAACGCGTAATGAATTGCAGAATAGTAGTGACACAAATTTTAGGTGCGATATACTTCTCAATCTTAAAGATATTCAAATTTTGGCAAATACATAGTTAAAGAAATATTAACAATTGATAATTATTCTATTGTTCAGGTCATATTGCTCAGGTTCACACAGCTAGCAAATTGGAGATCAGGATTAAGTTTGAAAAAGTGTATTTTCCACAGTGTCCTCTTAAAAGTAAAACATTTTGTACAAACAATTATAGGGAGATTATCATATATTTCTACAAAGAAAAGATTAACAATATCTCCAAGGAAGTTTTCATTCCTCGGTATCTTCATCATCAAACACATAAAATGATTAAGGTTTTGTGATGGGCACTATGTAGCACAATTGTTTTGTCTTGAGGATATCAAGACAATTATTTCCAACCTCTAAAACATTCATCATTGTTAAAGAGGTGTATACATAAATAATACTAAACATTTAATGACAAATAATTGTTGTTTCCAGTAGTATCTAGGGAGTTTAGAGCAGGATTCTAAGATAAATTAATGAAATCCACTATCAAAATCGTATTAATAATATAGACATATACGAGTGAAAAGAAATGACATTTTTGGGGGACATTCCTTTTACATTCGCATCATTTTGAAGAAAGCTATTATAAATTTTTCTTCATTTACACAAACTACTCCAATGGCAACAACTGTAGGAATGCATATATCTAAAACACCTACATCAGAAGTGTAACATCATATTATTTCTTTGCCCCACTTCCACAATTTCACACACCAACTATCCCCATCACACAACTACAAAAATATTAACAAAATTCACATTACCAAACCATTAGAAGTCAGGCCTATGAATGCAATGATGTTTTGTGTTAGATATTATGAATATAACATACCCTTACAAAAGAAAATGGTTTTCAATACTAAATTATCCTTGTGTTCCATTTTTCCTTTTTCACCATTTTCTCTAAATCAAAATTTACAAGGCTGGAAAAAATAAGGTTACTACCCTAATGGTAAAAATAGAACAAAAGTAGATTCAAGTATATCTAGCAAAAATTACAATCTTAAAATTTTGGATATACCGATCCTTTCGTCATTTTGATTCCTATAGCGATCTACCAAAAAGACTTAAAAACTCAAACACCTTTTTTTAAGAAGATACTATACACAGATTTATTCAGAAAAAAATCATTTCTGCTTCAGTATTTACCTCATGCTGAGCAGAGCACACTGATGTTCCATTGCTTTGAATGGATCTCACTCTACTCCACAATCTGTGATCATCTTTCCTTATCTATAAATGGTAACTTTGTAAATGGTTTGAGTAGCTATTTTTTTTTGCATATTATCAGACTACTGTATTAAATTTTCGCATTACTACTATTTACTTATTTAAATTTGAATACTTTTTTAAGCACTACCCACAATGTTGTATAAAATTAAGCAACAGTTAATCCTAGGGAGTAGGTATGCTTTCTGAGCCCTGAAGGAAAATATCTAAAGATTATGAAGAGTTCTCAGGAGGATATGAGATCCAAGAACACTATTCTCAAAGGATCACAAGTTTATGTGTTACACAAGAGTTCTCCCCAGACACTAAATATTTAAAAATAAAAATATAATTTAGAAAACTACTTTTAACTATGACTCCAGAGAAATCAGTATAGATTTCCCTAATATGTGTATGCTCTCATGTTTTGAAATCTGAGAAACAAAGATAAGGATTTGGAAGCAGAAAAAAGGAAATACTTTAAGTGGTAATAAAAAGTGAAAATATAGGATGGAGAACTTAGCCTCTCATAGAAAAAAAATTGTACCTTCAACTAGATGCACCGTTATTAATTCCCCAGACACACCTAACACTTCATGTCCTGCATGTCCTTCGTTTTCCATTCTGAAAGCTGTCTTTTCTCCAAATAGTCTTTTGTGATATTGTCTAGTGGATCTTAAACTGATATTTCATAATTAACTAAGTATTCTCCACTTCTTCAGTATTAATAGAACATTAATCTATGTTATAGCTAGTGTTCCTTACAACTTGTGGCGGCCATGGGACTAAATTCTGTCCAAAGGGTGTAAATGGAGATAATCTGTAGAATTTCCAGGATTACCCTTGATTAAGGCCTTACCTTCCTTTTCCTCTTGACCCCTCTCACTTTGTAATGCAGATGGGATGGCAATGGCAGGCCATTCTGAGCCATGAGTATGAGCAATTACACCAGGAATGGTAAATCAACAAGACAGAACACACCCAGGTTCCTGACACCATTGCAGGCCATTCCAGCATAGAAACACAATGACTTCATGGAGGGGTTTCAACATACTAGTCTGAACATTTAAATGTGACAAAAACAAATTTATTTCTTGTTAAACTGCTGTGGTATTTGTCTTTCTCAGACACTAACAAATCTATATTATTTTCAAAACCTGAGAAGGGGCTGAACTTTTGCTCTGCTTAGAGTCTAAGAGCTTAGCCCACCACCATTTCATAGACCCTGACAGAAAAGAGGAGCCTGCTGCATCAGTGTCACGCTTGTCATTTTTGTTGAAAACTGGACATACTGTGTCAAGTAATTTGAATGGAGATAAATAGGCCTTTAGCATGGGAGTTTATATTAATTTCTCTAGGACTCGGGCTGTGTTTAATGTTTTCTGTAGCTATAGGTGCCAGAAGCTTCTATTTCCTCTAGTGTCATTTTTCTTTCCCCTCTTGACTTTGTGTTTTCCTAAGAACTCCTCCTCTGGAGGGAGCCCGCCTCTTATAGCCCTTTCAACTGTAATCACTATCATGACACTAGTCCCTGTTGGTGTGGTGGTAATGTAAGAGGTTGCCAGAGCATTCTATAATCTACCAATTAAATCTCAGCTTTATAGTGGCCTTTGTCCCTGGGCTGTGCTCTTTGCAAGTGTTTCTCCAGTGATATATCTTTTTTACTTACTGGCTTCTACTCCTTTCTCTGGCTGTAGCATTTTCAATCTATTTTCTTGAAGACGTGACACCTGTTGACTGTTTTTTCCATCCTCAAAGGTGAAAGGGAGGTTAACAGGGAATAGAGCAGAAGGATGCCCTTCCTTCAGATAGGAATAGGCTCTGGCAAATACTTGTTCCCTGGAGAGTGGGCCTTTGCTACAGAGAAGGCTCCAGGCATATTTCACAGTGATGAGTCTTCCCTTCCCTTGCCAGAGGCAAAAGCAGTATTTCTGAAATATTCACCATGAAACCTGGTGGGGTTCTTTGATTTAAAGCTCATAAAAATGTTGGGGTTTCATTAAGATTGTGGCCCCCATCCCGGGAGTTTCTCACAGTTGTTCCCTTCCAACTGAGGCTCCAGCAATTCATCAAAATTAGCATTTAAGTGTTTCTATGACTTTATTGCTCCAGGGGCTTCTGTTTAAGATAAGCAGATCTCATATGTGACTCCCTGGATGCAACTCTATCCAGATTTTCACTTTCTTCCTGCATTAGTCCCCTCATAGATCTGAGAAAGGTCATTAGTTTTCGCTTGTGCAGCTTTTTCTTGTCATAAGGATTGAAGTGGCTTTCAACTTTCAAGCACTTTACATGTTGGAGTAAAAACTGGAAGTCGCTGGCACATATGCTTTTCATCGCAAGCAGCCAAGTGTCTGCATGGGGGTCAACCAAGCAAACTTCCGATATTGCATTTCACCCCAAGCCAGATTTGAAGAGTCCTTGACCCTTCCTCCTTCCACCTAGAGGAGTGAGCAACAACCAAAACCATGGGTAGCTAGTTTAAATCCCACCTCATGGCCTTCAGGCTCGTTAACAGGTAGGAGGAATTGGGACTCATACCTGCTTACTCACCACATGGGCAAGAGCATCCACACTGAATATGAAGAGTCTCACATCCGTAACCTGGCACATGGAAGGCCCTGTGCCTTCCTCTTCCAGAAAGCCATGTTTCTTCTGGGAATTCATCCTCTTCAACAACACTATCAAGACTGGGAGGTCCAAAATATATCAGCCAGCTACAGTTTCATAGATTCTAGCAGAAAGCACAAGACTCCTGAGTCAGAGGCAATAGACATTATTACTCACAGCATAGCAGGTGGAGTTAACTTCATATTTGCATCAGTTCCCTTTGCCTCCTAATCCCCTCAAGAGGCAATGAAGAGAGGTTGAGCTTAGAAAACCCCCACTGTTTTAAAGAGGCTGCTGGAAAATCTGCCCAACATTGCCACATTCGGGGACCTTACCTTTATAATCCTAATCAGGAAAAAAATCTGCCTTCTTATCCGGAGGTAGATGTTCTCTCTATCTCTATGGCTGAACAATATAGAAACAGTTTTACAGAAATAATCCAGAACAAGAGCTAATACAAGTTATATAGAAAGACCTTGGAGAATGCCACCCAACAGTCATGACTACGCAGCTGGATGCATGAAATAGACCCTTGAAGAGGGTTTTTGGAACTGGTCATCTGACCTTGAAGAGTTTGAACACAGTGCTGGGACCATATGAAAGTGGATTATTAGAAGTCCATGAATTCAAGTATTGACAGAATTATTTACATCATCACATGGACATTAGCTTGTATTAAAGGCTGACCTTTCTCAAACTGCATGTAGGGGACACAGAGCAATATGATAAATGTGTGAAATACAATCACTATAGTACTGTAAGACATACTGAAGATCTGAAAAGAAGTCCTGTATGTCAAATGTATTGTGGTAAGCGTTATAGTTTGTTTGGGCTACTATAACAAAATGCCAGAGACTGTGTGCCTTATATACAAAGAAATTCATTTCTCACAGTTCTGGAGGCTGGGAGCTGAGATCAGGGTGCCATCATGTGATGTCCCTCTTCTGGGTTGCACATTTCTTCTTGTATACTCACATGGTAGAAGACAAAAGAGATGTCTCTGGAGCCTCTTCTGTAAGGGCAATAACGGCATACATGGGGGTCCACCCTCACAACCTAAGCACCTCCCAACTGCCCTATCTCCTGATACCATCATCTTTGGGGGTTAGAATTTCAAAATATGAATTTTAGGGGAGACATTCAGACCATAGCAGTAATTCACCAGTGTACATAGACAAAAGCCTGGGGAATATATGGGAGAATAGATTCTAAGGGTAGTATTCTAGAGAGAAAGTAAATATAATTCTACATTAGAGTTGATGTATTGATATATTTTTAGTGATTGTAGATTTAATGGAAGACTTCAAGCTTCTGATGCTGGCTATAATGTTTTGTTCCACTGGATAATAACTTGGTCTTATGAATGATTTATCTTGATTAAATTTCAAATACCAGAGAACTTATGTTAATAAAGAAAAAAAAATCCAAAGCAGTAGGATGATAGTGATATGGAAAATTTTTATTATGTGCCATCCACTTACATATATGTTAACTACGTAACCGGTCAAGATCCAGAAGAAAATTCTTTCTACAAGGTATTGATACGTTCACAAGGGCATACTAGCAGGTTTAAAAGGTGTTGTAACTGATGGCCTGAAATGAAGGTGAGAGATGCTTTCATTAAAATGAGCTCCCTGATTTCAGTGGAAATGATGGGATCACGGGAAGGCAAAGGCCATTTTAAAGCACTTAACAGACATTGGCATGATGTGTGTGGTTACTTATTAGTCAGTAGAATTAGAGTGGTTATCAAAAAATCATCCTGAATATATTGCTAGAATAGACATACTGTAGTCTAAGTAGAAAACCATGGAGTTAAACAAGTAATAGCTCTAAAGCATCTTTCCCTAGTACTTGGTGCCAACTCTAAATACTTTAAAGAATGATGTGAGAGTGGTGATCCATTCCACATACTCATTCAATTCAACTGTTTACCTGTCCTAACACAGATGAATCTCAGAGGGTAACAGTGAATTCATAGACTGAATTAGGTGATAACTTCAGTGGCAAGATCCTTTTCAGTTATTGCCCATTTATTGGTTTAAATCAAAACAGTCCTGGTATTAAATGTCGAGCTATTGGGCCGGCCCCGTGGCTTAGCAGTTAGTGTGTGCGCTCCGCTACTGGCGGCCCAGGACCAGACGGCTTCCCTGGTGAATTCTACCAAACATTCAAAGAAGACTTAATACCTATCCTTCTCAAACTCTTCCAAAGCATTGAGGAGGGGGGGAAGCTCCCTAACTCATTCTACGAAGCTGACATTACCCTGATACCAAAACCAGACAAGGACAACACAAAAAAAGAAAATTACAGGCCAATATCACTGATGAACATTGATGCAAAATCCTGAATAAAATACTAACAAATCAAATACACAATGCATTAAAAAGATCATACACCATGATCAAGTGGGATTTATTCCAGGGATGCAGGGATGGTTCAACATCTGCAAATCAATCGACATGATACACCACATTAACAAAATGAAGAATAAAAATCACATGATCATTTCAATAGATGCAGAGAAAACATTTGACAAGATATAGCATTCATTTATGATAAAAACCCTGAATAAAATGTGCATAGAAAGAAAGTACCTCAACATAATAAAGGCCATATATGACGAACCCACAGCTAATATCATCCTCAATGGTGAAAAACTGAAAGCTATCCGGCTAAGAACAGGAACCAGACAAGGATGCTCACTTTCACCACTCTTATTTAACATTGTATTGTAAGTCCTAGCCAGAGCAATCAGGCAAGAAAAAGAAATAAAATGGATCCAAATTGAAAAGGAAGAAGTGAAACTCTCACTATTTGCATTTAATATGATTTTACATACAGAAAACCCTAAAGAATCCACCAGAAAACTTTTAGAAATAATCAAGAAATATAGTAAAGTTGCAGGGTACAAAATCGGCAAGCAAAAATCACTTATGTTTTGGGGCCGGCCTGGTGGTGTATAGGTTAAGTTCACATGCTCCATTGTGGTGGCCCAGGGTTTGCAGCTTTGGACCTCGAGTGCGGACCTACATCACTTATAAAGCCATGCAGTGGCAGGCACTCCACATATAAAGTAGAGGAAGATGGGCACAGATGTTAGCCCGTGGCCAATCTTCCTCAGCAAAAAAATGAAGATTGGCAGCAAATGTTAGCTCAGGGCTAGTCTTCCTCACCAAAAAAATAAAAAAGAAAAAAAGAAAATTCAGCTGTGTTTCTACACAGTAACAACAAAGCAGGAAGACAAATTAAGAATACCATCCCATTTACAATTCAACAAAAAAAATAAAATACCTAGGAATCAACTTAACCAAAGAGGTGAAATACCTGTACACTGAAAACTATAAAACATTGTTAAAAGTAATTAAGAAGACACCAAGAAATGGAAAGATATTCCTTGCCCTTGGATTGGAAGAATTAACATAGTTAACGTTCATACATCCTAAAGCAATCTACGGATTCAATGCAATCCCTATCAAAGTTCCAATGACATTTTTCACAGAAATAAAACAAAGAATCCTAAAATTTACATACAACAAAAGACCCCAAATAGTGAAAGAATTCTGGGAAAAAGAACAAAGCTGGAGGTATCACACTCCCTGATTTCAAAATAAACTCCAAAGCTATAATAAGCAAAACAGCATGGTACTGACACAAAAACAGACACACAGATCTATGAAACAGAATTGAGAGCCCAGAAATAAACCCATACATCTATGGACAGGTACTTTTCAACAAGGGAGCCAAGAACATGCCATGGAGAAAGGAAAGTCTCCTCAGTAAGCTGTGCTGGGAAAACTGGACAACCACATGCAAAAGAATGAAAGTAGACCATTATCTTACACCATACACAAAAATTAACTCAAAATGGATTAAAGATTCGAATGTAAGATCTGAAACTATGAAACTTCTAGAAGAAAACGTAGACAGTACGCTCTTCGACATCAGCCTTAGCAGCATATTTTCAAGTACCATGTCTGACTGGGCAAGGGAAACAATACAAAAAATAAACAAATGGGACAACATCAAACTAAAATGCTTCTGCACAGCAAAGGAAACCATAAATAAAATGAAAAGACAAGCTAACAATTGGGAGAAGATGTTTGGAAACCATATATGTGATAAGAAGTTACTATCCAAAATATATAGAGAACCCATATATCTCAAAAACAAAAAAACTAACAACCCAATTAAAAAATGGGCAAAACATCTGAACAGACATTTTTCCTAAAAAGATATACAGATATACAGAAGTTTAAGGTTCACAACAAAATTGAGAAGAAGGTGTAGAGATTTCCCGTATGCTCCCTGCTCCCACACATGAGTAACTTCCCCCATTACCCACATCCACCACCAGATTGGTATATTTGTTGCAAATGATGTGCTTACAATGACACATAATTATCATCCAAAATCCATAGTTTACTTTAGGGTTAGTATCGTATATTCTATGGGTTTGGACAAATATGTAAAGATATGTATCCATAATTATGGTATCATATAGAGTAATTTCACTGCCCTATAAATCTTCTGTGCTCTGCCTCTTCATCCTTTCCTTCACCCCCCAACCCCTGCAATTGTCCATCTTTTTTCTCTCTCCATAGCTTTGCCTTTTCCAGAATGTCATATAGTTGGAATCCCACAACAGGTAGCCTTATCAGATTGGCTTCCTTCACTTAGTAACATGTATTTACGGTTACTCTATGTCTTTTCACAGCTTGATAGCTCGTTTCTTTTTAGTGCTGAAAAATACTCCACTCTCTGAATGCACCACAGTTTATTTACCTGTTCACTTACTCAAGGACATCTTGGTTGCTTCCAAATTTTGGCAATTGTGAATAAAGCTAGTATAAACTCCTGTGTGCAGGTTTTTGTGTGGACATAAGTTTTCGATTTCTTTGGGTAAATACCAAGATGGATGATTGCTGGATTGTACGGTAAGAGTATGTTTAATTTTGCAAGAAACCACTAAACTGTCTTCAAAATTGGCTGTACTATTTTGCATTCTACCAGCAATAAATGAGGGTTCCTGTTGCTCCACATCCTTGTCAGCATTT